CCCGACTGTTGCCTCTGAGTTTCCACGAAAGTGGAAGCGCGGGACGATGGCCGTGCTGGGCGTCACCAAGGACGTGAGAAGGGGAGACTTGGCGCAGTGGTAAAGCTGCTGCCTTGTGACCATGAGGTCATGGGTTCAAGTCCTGGAAACAGCCTCTTACAGAAATGTAGGGAAAGGCTGCGTACTATAGACCCAAAGTGGTCGGACCCTTCCCTGGACCCTGCGCAAGCGGGAGCTACATGCACCAGGTTGCCCTTTTTTATAGACGGTGCCTAGGCACCGGGAGCTGTCACACCTTTCTGTTTCGAGATTTCTTAATGACGCACAAGCTATATTATTTACCCTCATGATCTATGGTTAGCTTTTCTTTCAAATTATTAAATATTAATTAAATATGATAATATATTTTTGTCCGACGGACCTGCACTACGTCGCCTTGCGGATAGACAGACCAGCCCATTTTCTAATTTTCTTCTGGTCAACTCGCCATCTAATTTTGATTTTTAACAATCCACAATTTTCTTCATCGTCTTAAATATTAAGTTTTTTGGTTTGGAAAGGATGAAGTTTATGCATTTTTCAATTTTATGTCTTCATAATGTGTTTCACGCCGAGATATTAAAAATAATTCTATCAAATGTGGTGTGGCGAAAACTAGAAAGTCATTGAAACTTACCTCCTCCATGATGGCGCTGCGGAAAGACTGCACCTTTCTAACGCTCAGCATGTGGTTGGTGAGGAGCTTCCTTGCCTGCCGCCAGCCTTGGCCATATGGCGCAAAGCCGATGTTGGACGAGCCGTACATGAGGATGTCGGTGACCATGGAGTGTGGCCGTGACGCGAAGACATGGTCGTGCGTGCGCAGCACGGCCTCTGCGGCACGCGGCGACGACACGACGAGCGTCGGCACGGCGCCAAGACGGAGGAGCATCACGTCAGGGCCATGCTTCCTGGCGAGGCTGCGGAGCGAGACGTGCGGGAGCGAGCCGAGGAGGTGCAGGTGGCCGATGATGGGCAGCGCCGGTGGTGATGGCGGGAGTCTGCCTGCAAGCTGTTGCCTTTTTCCTGTCTTCCAAGTGAACCAGTAATAAAACACAAACGAGAGGAAGAGCGGGAAGAGGAATAGAAACCATGCCGTCGGAGGCGTCTCTAGCATGACGGGATCTGCCATGGGAAGTTAATGTCTAGCACAGCACTTTCAGGAGCTATGCGGCGCAATTGTTCTCCTGAACCAGCTTAGTTTATCATCACAAACTCGATCGGTTGCTTATAAGCTAGCCAGGCAGAGTACTTGAAACCACAACCGCTGTGGGGTGCACTGAACTTGGAGCAATTAGTTAGGCGACAACGTAGCTTTCATTCTTAAAAACATACTGTACAAGGTAGTCCTTGGGTCTTGGTTACATGTTTTATGAACTTTCTGTGAC